ATAATATTCCATTGTATATATATACCACATCTTCTTTATCCAGTCATCTGTCGATGGACATCTTGGCTCTTTCCACAGTTTGGCTATTGTGGACATTGCCTGCAGCAGCCCTTTTCTGTCAGCAGGAGCCCAGGACTTACAGGAGGGGAAACAGTGTTGCACTGTTGTCTTCCCTCCAACTGTTGGCTCTTTTCTGTTCTCCAGCTCTTCCTCCTCCTCCTGCAGCAGAAGAAGAAGCCTCTGCCAACTACTTCAACCTCCCCCCGAGTGGTCCTCCAGCTGTGGTGAACATTGCACTGCCACCACCCCCTGGTATTGCCCCGCCCCCACCCCCAGGTAACATCCATCGTCCTTCTCAGCAGATAGGTCTAACTTAGCCCAGAAAAATCCTTGTGAGAGTCCTGTCTTCACACCTCATTATCATGTCCAAAGCATTTAAATTTCCCCCATAGAAGTCTGCAAGTAAACCTGATTTGTTAGGGTCCCTGATCTTTTTTTTCTTGGCCTGCCGAGGAGAGGAAAGTCGCCAGAGCTAAAGATCTGAGTATATATGTAACCAGAATGGGAGTTACTGGATTACAGTTATCTATCATCAGTTTGTCCCCTGTTCTAAACTAAATCCTAACTAATGTCCTAGAGTGCCATTGCTTAAAGTGCATGTGTGTCACTGTACAAAGCATTCATTACCTGTCTGTAAGATATAGAGCTTGTGCCAGGATATAAATTCATTAAGAGAGTTTTGTTACAAAAAATGTGTCAGATGAACTAAACAGGGTGCCTGGTCTTGTAATTAAGTTGAACTTTGGCTCAAGTTACATATGGCATTATCTTTGGGGGTGGGGGGGCAGTAATAAACAGTTCCAGGACCAGCACTTTATATCGTGCTGCTCTAGAAGCTGTCAGTGACAATGTGAAAAATGTAGGTAAATCACAAGTGGCCATTTCTCCTGTGGCAGAGTCCCCATTCTCTTTAACAAAGTCCTGGTTTTTGAACACCCTCCATTCTAGGATAAAGCGTTGATGTTGGTGGTGACAGGGTCTTGCCTCCGCCTGATTTCTTCCTCCCCTCGCAAATCCTGATTGAATCCTGGCCAGTAGGAGTGGCGTGTTCGATAGATACCAAAGGTTCAGATGACATACTAGCAGATACCTTGAGTCCCGTGGAGTTTTCTTTTAACCTGGTGTGAGGGGACAGGTTTCTAAAACCAAGGAAGTACTACAGGTAGACGTTCCTAAGCAAGTCTGTGAACTGACATTTTCTGAAGCCCCTTGTCAGCTAGCTTGGTTTCTGTGTAGGTGGTTTTGACCTTAGAAAGATTCAGAGGTTTGAAAGGTTGTCAAGGAAACTGCAAGTCTAACAAATTTGTCCTCTCCCATCTGCAGGTTTTGGGCCACACATGTTCCACCCAATGGGACCACCCCCTCCTTTCATGAGGGCTCCAGGACCAATCCACTATCCTTCTCAGGACCCTCAGAGGATGGGCGCTCATGCCGGCAAACACAGCAGTCCCTAGCACATTATCACCACTCCGGGGCTTTACAGAAGAAAGGGCGCTTAAAAATCCCAGTACATGAATCTTGGAATAAATATATTTTTCCTTCCTTTGTAGTTTCCATGGTAGCTGAATGTGTTCAGATGTGGGCAGTCAGAGAACGACAGCCGTGCTTCCCTACACGTATTCCAAGGATTGATGGACCTCAAATAAGCTGCCATTAACACATTTGGTTACTACTATAACATTACTAATCAAACTTAATGCCTGTTCTCCTTACTTCTGTGGCGAACAAGCAACTGGGTGAATTGGAATGTCTAACGGAGTTACCATCCCAATTGTATGTTCATTTTGTATCTTTTTTGGGGGGAAAAAATTGACCTGCAGTAAAATCTTTTTGACCATTTTTATGTCCATTGGGTATTTTTCCTTTTTATCATCTGCAAAAAGATTACTAGTACTAATCATTGTAGTGGCATGAGTGTGATTTAACACTTCAGAAGTCAACATTAAAGAGACAAGTAGAAACCAGCACCCAGCACAGCCCAGATCTTTTCTTACCTCTCCTTTCCTCATTACTAAAGGAATCTGGCGGATAGTTTTACCTCTCTGCGCTACCAAAACAAGACAAAAACAAAAATTGCTTTTTATTCCCGTCAATTGGATGGAAACACAAATGTTATGGAGCTGCGTATTATTGAAAAAATCTGGTGTCTGGGATGAAATTATTTTAAAGAGCTTCCTGTAAAACACGTGAGCAAACTGAGCCGAAAGGCACTGGCGCGTGTTGGAAGACCTGTGACCTGCAGCTAGCTGGGACTGTCACCTCTAGCATTCACCTTCGTGTGTCTTCAGCGTCACGTCTTCAGCCCCTGCTTCTGGCCAGGGCACTCTGTTTGGTTTTAGAATGTTTGGATATAACTGAATTGTAGATGGTAAAAATAATTGGATGTTGTGTTGTGTTTTTTGTTTTTAAAAAATTAAAACGGGTCAATTTTCCAAACGTTGTCATAGGCTTATTTCTAGATTTTTGTTTTCCTTATCCTTTGGTAGCTCACCTTGAGGTTGGTAGAAGTTAGAAACCAGTACATTTTTGGCTTTAGACTGTTCTGATTTTTATCTCTGTGTCCATTTTATGATGGGAAAAAGGCCCAGGCCGCTTTAGTAAGTACTTAAGTGTATGAGGTTGAAATAAGATAATGCACAGAGGGCACTCTGTGCAGAACCTGCCATGTGGTGGTTGATAAGTGGTAGCTTTAAAAAGTCATTGCCATATTTTACAGAAGTCATATTAAAGGGAAACAAGCAAAAATTACCTGAAATTCCATTTCTCCAGGAGCCGATTCCATGTCACTTACCTAAAATATATACTAATGGGGTGGACATAACCCATATAAAACCCATTTTTAGCTTCTCTGGAGAATTTTTTTTTCCTCTAGAAGGTTTCATCATGGAGGGGTTTTTTTTGTTTGTTTTTTATTAAGTTTTTTTTAAGTTTTAAAAATCTAAAAGGATTTAGAAAATCTGATTTAATTTCTAGTAATACCAAATGTGAATCATTGAGGGTACTTCCAAGTATTTTGACACCATTTTGGGTAGGGTTGAGTTTGTTCTGGTTTTTGGCTTACTTTTGAACATGTAAAAGATTTTTAACCAATTTGTGAATAAGATGTGGATTATGTATTGTGTTTTAATAATTGCCAAGTTTATATCTGTATATATATATATATATATATATATATATATACACATATGTAAATATATGACTCCAATTGTATATTCTTGCCTTTTTGGGAAGGAGGAGATTCTAAATTTTGTGCACTGCCTGGCTATGGATCTATATTTTTTGAAAAGCATAATATGCCAGCGTAAATTGAAGTATAGAATCAATGCTCAATCTTTCTTGAGTAAATCAGAATTAAGAGCAATTAGATTTTGACAAAAACTCTTAGGTACTTAACCACCTCCATTTCCTTTTCCTCTAGGGCACACAGCTGGGGGCACACTTGGTGAAAAGTAACCTTTGCCATTCCCAGACCAGGTCTGTAAAAACATCTCACTTAATCCTATGAGCTCTTTTGCCGTCTGGCTAAATACACTGGAGAATGATGAAGATGGCAGAATCACACAGAAGGAGCCTGGGTTTTCTATCACTGCTTTGAAGATAGAGCATTATAATGGGAGGAATTTTTGTTATAGTAAACTTTTGAGACCTGGGGATTTATCTGTTACAGCAGCTAGTGTTACTCTAGTAACAGAGGTGTAGCTGACTCTCATCACAAAAAAAGAAAAACCCTGTTTTTGTTTATACTGAGTAATGGTTTAAACAGACTCTGGAGCCAGATCACTGCGTTCAGATTCTCACTTCGGCACCTTCCAGCTGTGTGCCCTTGGGCACATTACTTAGCCTCTGTCTATTTGTCATAATGCCTCCCCCCCAGCCCTTGTCGCTGCCTGTAGTAATTTGAGGTCCTCCCGTCATGGAGAAGGCTCAAAAGGTAAAGCAGCATGATAGCTGAACTAAGGCAGCTTATGGTTCAAAGAGTGATGTGACAGATGTTTTAGAAGCCAAGTCAGTGAGCCAGTGTAATGTCAACCTGAAATAAATGGAAGTGAAAGAGGGGTCTAGGATGACCCCCAGGTCTCTGGTTTGCTCAAATGGGCAGAAGGATGCCTTTTCCTGACAGAATGATGGGTAGGGGAGGAGAGTGAGATTGGGAAATGGTAGGAGAATGAGTCCGATGTGGGATTTGGTAAGTTGAAGTTACCTATGAGACCGGTGGCAATTCCCAGCCCAAAAGGAATTGGAGCTTAAGAAAGATCAAGATTTGGGAGTTGGTGATGAAGTAGCATTTGAAGCTCCGGGTGTGGAGTGAAATCCTGCGGGATAGGGATATAGAACATTTGTTCTTAAACTTCAGTAGGTGAGTTCCTTCCATGGGTAAGGCAAAGACCACCCTCTGAGAAACACTAGTATAGGATAAAATGGCTTTCTAAGTTTAGAAAAAGTTATCTTCCCCAGATATCCTCTAGTCTTCATATTTTCTGTAACATTTTATTATAAAAATTTTCTAACATACAGGAAGGTTGAATGAGTTTTACTGTGAGCAATACTATATCCACTCACTAGATCCACAATTAACATTTGGCCATATTTGCTTCACCACATATCTGTATTCCTTTATGCATCCATCAATCTGTTTTTTATGCATTTCAGAGTAAATTGAAGACATCAGTATACTTCACCTTGAAGCACTTAAGCATTTATATAATTAACCAGAGTTCAATATTTATAGATTTTCTAGGTAAAATTTACATAGATTGAAATGCACAGATCTTGAGTATGCTATTCAAGAATTTTAACATTGTATCCATCTATGTGACCCAAATCTCTGGCAAGATGTGGAACGTTACCATCATTCCAGAAAAATTTCCCCTCTTCTCCCCAGTCAATACCCACCCCCCCACCAATCTCCAGAGGCAACTACTATTCTGATTTTTTCACCATAGCTTAGTTTTACTTATTTTAGAACTTTATATAAATGGAATCATGCATTGTGAACTCTTTGTTTTTGACTTCTTTCCAACAACATGATGTTTTGAAGGATCATCCATGATGTTGTGTATAATTCCTTTTTTTTGTTGAGTAGCATTCCATGATATTATACCATCACTTACCTATCAACTTTTTGCTATCGTGATTTGAAGCTCCTATGGATATCCTTGTACACATTTTTTGGTGAATATATGTTTTTATTTCTCTTGAATAAATAGAGTGGAATTCCTGGATCACAGGGCTGGTGCCTGTTTAGTTTTAAAAGAAACCGTCGGACCTTTTCCCAAAGTGGTGGTACCCTTTTACATTCCCACCAACAAGAGTTCCAGTTGCTCTACAACATCACCAAAATTTGATGTAAAAAGTCTTTCTGGTGGGTGTATCGTAGTAGTTCATTGTGGTTTCAGTTTGCATTTCCATTTTGACAAATAAGTTGAGCACCTTTTCAAGTAGTTGTTGGTTGTTTATATCTCTTCTTTTGTGAAGTGTCTTTTCAGGTATGTTGGCCATTTTTATTGGCTTTCTGTCTTTTTTTTAACTAGCTATAGGAGTTTAAAATATAGATATTAGTCCTCTGTCAGATATATGTTTGCAAATACTTTCTTCGAATCTGCCTATTAAGTTTCCTAATGCGCAGATGATGACCAATTTTCTTGATGGTCAGAGATTTCTCATTTAATGAAGTCCAATTTATTGTCCAGCATACCAAAATTTGTATCAGTTTGCCAAGGCTGCTGTAACAAAGTATCATAAACTGGGTGGCTTAACCAACAGAAATGTAGCGTCTCCTCTTTCTGGAGGTTAGATATCCAAGATCAAGGTGTTGGCAGGGTTGATTCTTTTTAAGGCTGTGAGAATGTGTTCCGGGTCCCTCTCCTAGCTTCTGGTGTTTGCTGGCAAGCTTTGGCATTCCTTGGCTTATAGAAATATCACCCCCGTATCTGCCTTTGTTTCCACATGGTGTTCTCCCTGTGTATATGTCTCTGTTTCCAAATATCCCCTTTTATATCAGGACGCCAGTCAGATTGGATTCAAGCTCATCCCAGTGACTTCATTTCTTGTTTGTTGAAAAGATATTCCTTTGTTAGGTCTTTTGCATTTCCATATACATTTTAAAATCAGTCTGTCAATGTCTACAAAAACATAGGACTATGACTGGGATTGCGTTGGATTTGTAGATCAGTTTGAGAAGAACTGACATCTTGACACTGCTGAGTCGTCCAGTTTATGAACATGGTATATGTCTCCATTGCACAAGTCTTCTGTAATTTCTCCCAGCAGTATTTTATCCTTTCAGCATACAGGTCTTGCATGACATTTGTTAACTATTGCTGAGAATTTTGTGATTTGTTCTTATTGTAAATGGAATTTTTAAATAATGTACTTTCTAATTGTTGCAGCTAATATATAAAAATATAATGATTTTTGTGTATCCACCCTGTATCCTGTGACCTTGCGAATTCAGTTTTTCTAGTCCTTGCTTTATAGATTCTAGCAATAATACCATCTGCAGATAGAGACTATTTTACTTATTCATTCCCAATCTTTACGCCTTTTATTTCTTTTTCTTGCCTTGCTGAACTGGCTGGGACCTTGAATAATATATTAAACAGAACTGGTGAGAGTGGACATCTTTGTCTTGTTCCCAATCTTGGGGGGATACCTTCAGTATTTCAACATTAAGTAGGATATTAGCTATAGATTTTTTTTTTTGTAGCTGCCTTTTATCAGACTGAAGAAGCTACCTTCCAAATTCTCTGAGAATTTTCACCATAAAATGGTGTTGAAGTTTGTCAGCACTTTTTTGGCCTCATATGGTTTTCTCTTTCACTATGTTAATGTGGCAAATTACATTGATTTTTTTTTAAGTTTTTATTTAAATTCTATTTAGTTAACATATAGTGTAATATTGATTTCTGGAGTAGAATTCAGAGATTTGTCACTTGAAACACCCAGTGCTCATCACAAGTGCCCTCCTTAATACCCATAACCCATCTAGCCCCTCCCCTACCCACCTCCCACCGGCGGCCCTCAGTTTGTTAAGAGTCTATAGTAAAGAGTCTCTTATGGTTTGCTTCCCTCTCTTTTTTTTTTCCCCCTTCCCCTATGTTCATCTGTTTTGTTTCTTAAATTCCACATATGAGTGAAATCATATGGTGTTTGTCTTTCTATGATACACTAATTTTTAAATGTCAAAGCAACCTTGCATTTCTGGGATAAGCCTAACTTAGTCATTTATTTCTTTTTAAAATTTTTTTATTGTATTTTTTCCACTCTTATTGAGATATAATTGGCACATAACATTGGATTAGCTTAAGGTGTACAATGTGATTTGATACTTGTATGTATAGCAAAATAATTACAAAATAACTAGTTCACATCCATCACCTCACATAGTTACGCTTTCCTCTTGTGATGAGAACTTTTAAGATCTATTCTCTTAACTTTCGAATATGTCATACAGTTTTGTTGACTATAATCACCATACTGTACATTACATCCCTAGAACTTATTTATCTTACAGCAAGAAATTTGTGCCTTTTGACCACCTCCACCATTTGAAGCCCTATCACCCAACACAGTCATAATGTATTTTATATATGTATTTATATATCATATATCTTTATATTTATGAATTACATATATATCACTTGGTTTTTTGTGTTTATGTTTATGAGAAGTATTGATCTTGAATTTTCTGTAACATCTTTGTCAGGTTTCTTCTGGCTTTATCAAATATCTTTGGAAATGTTACCTCTTCCTGTATATTCTGAAAGAGTTTGTGTAACATTGCTATTATTTTTTTCTTAAATATTTGATACAATTCACTGGTGAAGCCATCTGGGCCTGGAGTTTTCTTTGTGGGGATTGTTTTTTCTTTAGTTTTAAAACTTTATTTTGGAATAACTTGAGATTTACAAAAAAGTTGCACAGATGTACAGAGAGTTGTTACTGTTCACCCAGCTTTCCCAATGTTAACATCTAACATAGCCATGGTATTTTTGTCAAAACTAAGAAATTAACATTCATATAATACTATTAATTAAACAAAGTCTTTATTTGAATTTCGCCATTTTTTCCCCCTCTGATATCCCTTTCTGTTCCAGAACCCAACACAGTCTACCACATTACCAACGAGTACTGGTAAGCTATTTTGTAGACTGTCTCTCGACTTGAATTTGTCTGATGTTTTCTCATGATTCGCCTGGGCTTATGGATTTGGGGAAAATATCTCAAGGGGCAGTGCCCTTCTTATCATGTTATGTCAGGGATCTGAATATCATTGATGATGTTAACCTTGATCCCTTGATGTCTTCCAGGTTTCTCCTTCATAAATTTACTGTTTTTCCCTTCCTATGTTCTATTTTTTGGAAGCAAGTCAGTAAGGCCAATCTACAATCAATAGGATGGGAATTACATTTCATCTCCTGAAGAGGAAGTTTCTACATACATTATTTGGAAATCTTTTGTGAGGAAGAAAGAAGGTTTGTCTTTTCTCCCCCATTTATTTGTTTGTTCAATGATTTATTTACATCACTGTGAATTCATGGATATTTACTTTATTCTTTGAGTTATAATCTTTTATTCTGTAGATTGTCCTTTCGCTGTCTTGATCTTACACTGTTGGTGGGAATGCAAGCTAGTACAGCCACTCTGATAAACAGTGTGGAGGTTCCTCAAGATGTTAAAAATAGAGCTACCCTATGACCCAGGAATTGCACTACTAGGTATTTACCCCAAAGATACAGACGTAGTGAAAAGAAGGGGCACATGCACCCCAGTGTTCATAGCAGCAATGTCCGCAATAACCAAACTGTGGAAAGAGCCGAGATGCCCTTCAACAGATGAATGGGTAAAGAAGATGTGGTTCATATATACAATGGAATATTACTCAGCCATCAGAAAGGATGAATACCCAACTTTTACATCAACATGGACAGAACTGGAGGGGATTATGCTAAGTGAAATAAGTCAAGCAGAGAAAGACAATTATATGGTTTCACTCATATGTGGAACATAAGGAATAGCGTGGAGGACCACAGGGGAAGGAGGGAAAGCTGAGGGGAAGAAATCAGAGAGGGAGACAAACCATGAGAGACTCTGGACTCCGGGAACCAAACTGAGGGTTACAGAAAGGAGAGAGGTGGGGGGATGGGGTAACCGGGTGATGGGTATTAAGGAGGGCACGTGTTGTGATGAGCACTTGGTGTTATATGCAACTAATGAATTGTTGAACACTATATCAAAAACTAATGATGTACTATATGTTGACTAATTGAACATAATAAAAAAAAGGATCCTTTGATGCATAAAAGTTTTTTAATTTTTTATTGTTATGTTAATCACCATACATTACATCATTAGTTTTAGATGTAGTGTTCCATGATTCATTGTTTGTGATGCATAAAAGTTTTAAGTTTTGTGTGTTCATTTTATGAAGTGTTTCATAGTAGTTGAAAATAACGAGTATTCTCTAATTTGGTGGTGCAAGATTCCACATTTTCCTTTCATTGTACAAATTTCCTATATCCTTACTCTGATGACTGACTGATCAGTAATTCAAAGAAATGTGTTAAATCTTCCACAATGACTATGGGCTTATCATTATGTAAGGATCCTCTTTATCACAATAATGCTTTTTGCCAGGAAGTCTCCTTGTCTGATGTTAATATAATTAGATCACATTTCTTCCGGACAACATCTAACTGCTTTATCCTTTTCCATTTCTTTAGTTTGCCTCCATGTCATATTTTTAGGAGTGCTATTTGTGAAAGGCATAGAGCTGGAATTACTTTTTACCCAAACTGTGAGTATCTTTAAATTGGTGAGTTGTATACATTTACATTTATTGTGATAACTGATATATTTAAATGTATTTATACTTTAATTCATGTCCCTTTAATTGCTTCTTTTTCATCCTTCCTGCTGTCTATTGAATTGATTGATCTCTGTGCTCACCATTGCTTCTTAGATTCTATACTTTTTTTCTGGATCCTTCCTAAAGCATGTTCTTTTGTTCTTTCAGGGGTTAGTGGGAAATTCTCATACTACTTATTTGTCTGAAAATGAGTTTATTTTGCTCTCACTTCTTGAAGATATTTTTGTGTTATTGCTGTCATTGTAAATGTCCATCTTTTGTAGATAATCTAGCTTTTTCATCTGGGTAATTTGTAGGTAATTTAAGCTTTCTTGAAATTTCTCTGTGACTTTGGAGTTCTGCAATTTCAGTACAGTGGGTTTTTTTTTAAAAGATTTTATTTGAGAGAGAGAGAGAACGTGAGTGCTCCACAAGTGGGGGAGGGGCGGGGGGGGAGAGGGAGGCGCAGACTCCCTGCTGAGCAGGGAGCCCTCAGGGCTTGATCCCAAGACCCTGAGATTATGATCTGAGCTGAAGGCTGATGCTCAACCGCTCAACCGGCTGAGCCACAGAGGCGCCCCTCAATACAGTGGTTCTTAAGTGTAGATTTAATATCCCTTCTCATGACAGGGTGAGGATGGTGTGAATTTATGTCTTTTATCAAATCTGGAGAAAACCCAGTCATTTTAAAGCATTTTCTGGAATTCCTATCAGTACTGTCAGACACTTCCATTTTATTCTCCATGTCTTTTTAATTTTTCTCTCATACTCTCTGTCTTTTCACCTCTCTGTGAAACATTATGGGCACTTCTAGTTCACTAATTCTTTCATCAGGTACGTCTGATCTATTACTGATTTGTCCATTCACTTTTTGAAAGAAGGGATTGTTTTGGTAAAATATAACACATGTACAGAACAAGTGCATAAAATACGGATGTACAACTAAATTTAATATTCTAGAGTGAACACTCATGTAACGGTCACCCGAATCCAGCAACGGAAATTATCCAGCTTTCCCCAGAAGCCTTTTATCCCTTCACAATCACCAACCTTTCCTTCCTCCCAAAGTTAACCCCATCCCGACTTTCATATGAACACTTCCTTGCAACAGCACACATACATGTTTGTATCCGCCTTCCTTTGCTTGCCGATTTGTGTCTGCGCCCATGCCCAAGGAACCCAGCTCCTCTCCACTCATCCCTGCCATAGCTCATGTCCACTTTCCCAATGTCCTGGCTGGTCTCAGTCCTTTTCATTTCCATATCACCGGATGATTTCATTTAGGTAAGGAACAGAACAGGCAAAAGCATAGAATTTTCTATGAACAGGCAAAGAATAGGATTTTATATGAAGGGCTCACTAAACCCACAAATTACATGAAAAGTTAATGGCCTGCTTTTTCAGGATCCAAATTTTACTTATTGTTGAATAAAGATGCAAAATACAAAATAGTACATACGGTATGATCCCATTAAACAAAGACATATTTTCGCCCCTATGCACCTTTCCACACTACATATTTATCTAGTCAAATAATTCTAGAATTCTTGAAGGTCCAAACTGTTACTCATGGTTACCTCCAGTATGTGGGGATGAGGCAGAATGCAGGAGGCTGGGAAAGTCTATGAGCATGGGAGATACTATGAGCATGGGAGATGGGCCAGTCTTTCCACATTTTACTTATTTATTTAGATAATAAGCATTCCTTTTTTTTTTTTTTTTTAAACAACGTCAGTGAAAGTCACATCATCAGAAGAAAGAATGCGGATTCGCTTTCGGGTGTAGCAGGCCCTCCTCTCCTGTAGCTAGGGGCAGCCATCACCATCCGGAACACAGCAGAGCTAAGCCAAGGTAGTCCAGATCCTCTCTTCTATGTGTCAGACACTTTCACGGTTGGTTTTCAGCTCATGCAGACATGGCTTTCAATAGCAGCCCCCCAATTCAAAACAACACATCAATGGCAGGCAAGTCTAATAGGCTGCTGGCCCCTCAAGATGGTGTGGGGTGCAGTGAAAGTTCAGAACAAAAGGAAAATGTAACCACTATCCCACATACCCTGGGAACTAGCTGGATTTCTCACCTTCTCATGTCCCCAAGAGAGGGAGTCAGGGAGGAGGCAGAGGGAGGTAATTCCATGTTCATGTCCATGTCCATGTCCACAGGGAGCCCTACAGTAATCAGAGGCTCTCCTTCCAGCTTAAGCTTTGCTGACCCCAATGACATCTTGCAGCCAGCTTCTCAAGAACAAGAACATCTCTTCCAGTCAAGAGCAGTAGCTGCATGAAATCTAATAATGACTGAGGGCTTCTTAAGTATGTGTCCATCACTGTGCTCACAACAGCCCTATCCAGGAGGTTCTGGCCTTGTCCTCGTCTTACAGGTGTAGAGACAGAAAAATGACTTGCTCAAGTTCACACAGCCAGCAGTAGCTGTTAGAGCCCAACCCATCCATTCTGACTTCCCAACCTGCACTTTTCACCCCTAAGCCTGAAGGCAGGACACCATGCTTAGATGGTTCCAGAGTGAGTGGGCATTGGTCTGGCCACCCAGTGCAGTGAAAAGGGACAGCCAGTGGAATTAGACATTCTCATTTTGGCTCTGTACCTGGATAAGCCACTTCCTTTGAGCCTGGATATCCACATCTGTAAAATGGGACAATACCTTTCCCTTAGGGTTGAACTGAAAATAAGAAATAGGATATGTGGAGAATCTACTAGCAGCCCAAGCACTGAGGCACCCAATAAAAAGCAGCCACCATCATCATCATTTTCATTGTCTTCCTCATCACCAGTTGAACTAAGAGGCATTCCTTTCTCTCCTTTTCCTAGTGAAAGGGATATAGCCTTGAATAGCCCTGGTGGAGACTAGGACGAGATTTACCCTGAGGCTTGCACAGGATGGTGAGTGGAAGGAGAAAAGAAAGAAGGGGGCCTTACAGGTACTCCACATTGTACCTGACCTGTAAGGTGCACAGAGGGGTGCCCCTTCATTCCATCCCCATGGCCATCTCCCTAGTCTAGACCTTGTTCCCTGCAGGATTCCTGGCTTCTGGCCTTAGTCCTTGCCACTCTGTGCCCCACATAGCAAGACCCATCACTCCTCAGCTTAAAAACTACCCCCATCTCCTTAGTAAAGTCCCCCCAATGCTGGCCCTCACTGACCCCTCTAGCACAGCGCCCTCCTTTTTCCAGAACACACCTCTTCCTGTGCACAATTCCACACTTCGCACATGCTGGTCCACTTGGCAGGAATGCCCTCCCCATCACTCCCTCTGCCCTTGATGGCTCTCAGTCCTCCTCTGGGGTCCCACCCAAAGTCTCTGAGAAGCTTCATGGAATCCCGCCCCAGCCCCAGGGTTAGGGACCCCCTCTTCTGCCTCAAGCCCCCTTTCTTCCTCTGTTGTCAGTCAGTGTGCTGTAGGGAAAAGGAACATGATTTCCTGCTTTACAAATCTGTCTTCCCTACTGTCCTTTGTTCCTCTAGGCCAGGGCCTGGGCGTATTCGCCACACACTCTCCCTGGGCTGGCAGGGTGTCTAGCACACAGTAGCTACTTAGCAAATGTTTAGAGCTGCATCTCAATAAAAGGAAAAACTTTCTAATTATCAGAGTTATCCATAGGTAAATGGGCTGCTAGTGAGCTCCCTGTCAGGGGAGTGTAAGCTAGAGTCCACAGCAGGGAGGAGTGGAGGCATGGATGTGAATTCACTGGTGGCTTGGATGTCTAAAGACGCAAACCATGAACAAGTTTCACTGGAATCACCTCGGAGTGTTGGTTACTAATAGAAATTCCCCAACTCAGGAGATCTGAATGCTGCAAGTCTGGGGCAGGCCAGAAATCTGTATGCAAAACATCATCCCCAGGAAATTTTGAAACACACCCCATTTGGGGACTACTGAACTTTGTGGCCTTTGAGGCCATTTGCAATAAGGTTTTGTGTGTGAAGACCCTTCAGAAACTGTGAAGTGCTGTCCAGAAGTCTTGACTCCAAGATGTTACCCAAACACCAAGACAGGGGAACTGAATATTCAGGCTGGGGCTACAGCTCCTCGGACTCGGGGAGGTTGCGGACCCAGCCCTGGGCCACTCTGTTGAAGCTGGGTCTGAGACGAAGGAGTTCCAAGCCACTGATGAGCTCCGGGACAGAGGGGGTGCCTGCCCTGGGAATGGTCTCTCCCACCAGGGGTCCTCCAAAGGGCACCGGGGTCCTGGGGAGAGAAGAGCAGCAGGAGAGGTGGGCTGTGTGGGAGACCACTGGATGGCAGATCACTGACATGCGGGTCACCATGTAGGGCCCCCTCCCTGCCTCCTCCTGGGCCTCAGTGTCACCACCTGTACAGCAAGGCTTTGTATTATCTTTAACAGGTTTCTCCAGCTCTGCCCATCCCCCGATCTGCCTCTGGTGGGGATGGCTTGGTGCTTGGGAATAGGAATGAAATTTTCAAAGCTAGAATTGGCTTGTCCTAGGCAAAACTCTAGGTTCCCCTTAAGTAAGCTCCAGAAGGCAGTGGAGCTGGAATGGGGTTTTTCCTTCCTCTGCTCATCTCTCCTCAGAACAATATACCCGCAGGCCAGAGAGGGAAGAGGGGTTAGAAAGAGCACCGAGAATCAGGAAATGCAAATGATAACAGAGACATGCCACTTCTCACCTGTAAAACTGGTGAAAAGAAATAATTTGATAATGGGGCAAAGTTGGTGAGATGGTGGGGCAAATTTTCACTCCGATACTGCTGGTTGGAGGGTAAATTATGCTGCTACCTTGGACAACTTGCAGGATCTTTTTAATTTAAAAATGTGCAAACTCTGTGAACCAGCAATTGCACCCGTAAGCATAGGGCTTAGGGGAGCACGTGCATGCACACACAAAGACACAGGTATGAGCAGTGAGTGGTGACAAACCAGAAACAGCCCAGATGTCCATTAGCAGAGACCCAGACAAGACAGATGTACTGTATTCACATGGTGGAATACCATACAGCCGCTTAAAGGGAATGAAAAGATCTGTGTACAATAAGTAGGATAGATTTCAAAACGTCCAAAAGGCAAGCAAGTTACAGAATGAGATACAAAGTATCAAAACGCACACATACCCCCCAAACAATGCCATCCACTATAGGACTAGAGTTGCTGGGAGAAAATGATCTGAAAACATACACACCAACCTGACCAGTGTTACCTTTGAGAATTTGGGAAGGGAACTGGGATTGGAGGATGCTGAACAAAGGGCTCTCTCTTTATTTGTAGTTGCCTCTGTGTGTGTGTGTGTGTGTGTGTGTGTGTGTATAAGAGAATATAAGTATGTTATTTTTAAACTATTTTTTCATCTTAAGAAAACTTAAAAAGCACCGCTCATGTAGTGTTTTCCTCGAAGCCTGGGAGCAGTGGGAATGAGGGCGTGCTTGCCTCTGGGGTAGAAAGGCAGGCCTCGGGCCAGGGCCTGGGCTCCAGCCAGGAGAACGGGTCTGCCTGGACCACCCTGGCTGTGGCGGCAACAGCCAGGCCCTGCGGGAATAGGCTGGGCAGTTTCCAAGCTGCACAGGCCTCACGATCCAGCCCTTGACTGGAAGCCCAGAGCCCTGGATCCTTAGCACAGCTTGGCCACTAACACTGCTGCTCACCCCCGCTTTGGCATCAGTTGGCTCTTGGGTCTCAACGGGGGCCTGGGCTTAGGGCCCCCTAAGGCCCTCCTCCAACAGTTGGTAGGAATGTGCTTCGTCCTGTCCTAGCTGCAGCGTGAGATGGATGGGGCCAGCCTGGAAGCCGGCGCTCAGGACTGAATGTCTACCGAGGGTCTGAACTAGCTGGGCGGGTAAGGGCTGAGGGCCCCAGGAGCAGAGAGAACACGGTCTGGCCTGGCAGAAACCCCAGGATGCCTGCCAATGGCTCGTGGCTCCCGTGGTGCCTGTTGGGCACAGTTCTTCCTGTCGGGGCCCTCCCTGGCTATCAGCTGTGTGAGGGAGGTCACCTCTCTTCTGAGCAGTCTCTTCTCAGGGCTGATCGCCCCCGGCTGTCAGACAGTCTCGCATGTGGTCTGAGCAGGTGCCAGAAGAGCTGGACCGTGGCCTCCTCCCATGGACCCTCGTCTTTCTCACTTAATGCCGCCCAGGCCAGAGGAGCATTTTTCAGAAATCGCATCAGCCTGAGAAAGCCAACTGCAGTTGAAAGGCATCCCCTAGCCCAAGGCCTCCCTCCAGTGCCAGGCTCCTGTCTTGACGCCTGTGATTTGTCTTTGGGCCCCTGGGGCAGAACACTAAATTTATCCCTTTCCAGTTCTCTCTATTAGCTTTTCCAACCATTATTTCAGCCTGCAACTAATACTAGTACGAATACTAATACTAATAGCTACTGTTTATTGAGAGCTTACTACTTACTAGAAACTTTGCCTACGGCTTCTCATGCCATCCTCACAACAGTCTTAGAAAGTAGATACTGTAATAGTCTCATTTTACAGATGGGGAAATAGAGGCTCAGAGAGGTTAAGTCACTTGCCCAAGGTCACACAGCGAAGCAAGGAGTCTGCCTGTAAGCCCACGTTGAGGCCCCATGCTCTAAATAGTACAAGCCACTCCGCTGCGGCTCTCAACATCTGGCGTCCAACATTTCACTGCCACTCCCCACTTTGATACACCTCAAAGCCATCTCTAGGCCTCTTCCAGACCTTTGAGGAAAGTGAGGAAAAGGCTGAGCTGATCTAGGACTAGTGAGATTGGGGCCCCACCCAGGGAAGAACGTGCGTCAAAGGGATGGCACACAACAGGGAGGAAACAAGAAACCGGGCTCTGGAGTCAGACAAATACAGACTTGGATCCCACACCCGCCGCTTCCTTGCTTTGTGACCTTGGGCAGGTTGTTGATGTTCCTGAGTGGGTCCCTTCACTCGCAGAATAGGAAAAACTGTAGCACCTCCCTGCCCTGTTGTGTGGAGAAACCAAGATGTGTGGCACATTCACCCATTCATTCCCTGTGCATTTCTTGAGCACCTACTATGTGCCGAGGCAAGAGTGTGGAAGTGCTCAGATAGAGCTTGGCCTGTGAGAGGGCTCAGGAACTGCCACCACGGGCACCTGCACACCCCAGCCATCTCTCCCCAAGCCGCCCCCCCGCCCCCGGCCTTACTTGTTGAAACTTCGATACTGGGCCACGCTGGGGGTGTCACTTCTGCCATCCCTCTGGTAGTCCCGGTAGCTGGTGAACTCCTGCCAAGGACAGCGGTAGCCCTTGGGGATGGCTGTGTGGTTGAACTTCTCTGGCGGGACACCCTTCAGTGGCTCGGCATAGCCTGGAGATGGAGCAGGGCTCATGGGGGGCAGGCAGATGGGGGGGCAGCTCGGTTCTTTTCTCCCTCAGCTCCCACTCCTGCCCACCCCACAGATATGGTTGGGGGAGGGAAGCCTGGAGCTGGGATGGGGGGTGTGGGGGGAATATAACGCCAGAGTTGTTCCAGCAAAGGGGACCGATCCTTCCCCATCCCTGGAAGCAAGGAGGACTGGAGCAGGGGAATTGTGAGTTGGGGCGCAGACTCTGGCTCAGTGTGTGACCTTGGGTGCATTGCTGCACCTCTCTGGGCTTGTGTTAGATCTGTGGAAGGGGATGGGGGACGTAGACTAGACACTCTCTGGGCGCTGGTTCCCGCCCCACAGTGGAGCACGGCCTGGGCTCTGGTCCCCCAGCCCTGGTCCCAGGACCCGGGGAGGCACTCACCTGGTGCCAGGGCGCTGGGGCTGCGGGCACGCACTGTGGGGAAGGCTGCAGAATGGGCATCCTCGGGGCCCTGGGATGAGGCTGGGAAGATGTGGAGCTCAGAGTGGCAGTTCTGCCCCTCGGGGCCATTGGCAACCTGGGCACAGGGGCGGGTGCTCAGAGGCCATGGACTGCCACACAGAGCTGCCTGGCCCCTTCCCCCAGCTTCCCCTCTTGCGGGGGCTCCCTGCATACTCACCGTCCCCAGCTCCGCTGTTCCTGTCACCTTCGATCCTGTTACCTTCCCCTTGGCACTTCCATCCACGATCTGTGGGGGCAAATAGACCACAGGGAGGCTCAGTGCAGCAAGGGGCCAGGGTTCTCCTTCCACCAAAAAAGGGGGGTGCATAATCTTAGTGCCTACATCCCAGGGATATTGGGGGGATGAATTAATAGCATAGGGTGCTAATCCCAGTTCCTGGAACAGAGAAATGCTCTCTGTATGTTAGTTGCTATTCTAATATTGACCTTGGGCAGATAACCATCCCGAGTCTCAGTTTCCTTATCTATTAAATGGGAGTAGTGTTGATAATTTCTAGCTTATAGGGCTCTATGGGCATTAAATGAGATGATACACATGAAGTGCTTGGCTAGCAAAGGTAGGTGTTTTGTTGTCTTTACTATTCTGCATTCTGCCCCATCATCCCCTCTCAGTCACCCCCTTTTTAGTCCAGACATTGAGTGGAGTATGAGTGGAATGACCCCAAGTTCATTCCAAGTAACTGAAACTGCCTGCTGACTTTTTGAAGCCTGAGGATAAGCCATTCTTGTCTCTACCAGCAGACTGTTTTCTGGCCTTTTCGTTCTTCTAGGGGCAAGAAGAGAGAGTTTTGTGTTTTCTCACTTAGGTCAAGCTCAATGTCTAATCTAAATCCTGCTCACTGCAAAGTCAGCCAAGAGCACTTTTTGTAGGAGCCGGAATCCCTTCACCTACAGCTCGCCGTGCCCATTCCACTTTATGTTTTGTATCTGGGGAGAGATGCCTAAAGAGATACCACTTTTCTAGGATCACAGAGCAAGTCAGGGGCTCAATTTGATGGGAACATCACAGCCTTTCCAGCTGGAGCTAGAGGGACTCCCCAGGGGCAAGATGTCCTCATCTGGCTCACTGTTTGGCTTTAGGCTAACCACTGGCCCTCTCTGGGCCTCAATTCCCCTATAAGCACAATGGGACTAACTCACCACTCGTGGGCTGGCTGCAAACTCAAAGGTGAATCTCTGCACCCGGCGCTGTCTCTTCTGGAAGAGGAGGGATCCTCTGTTGTTTCGCAGCGAGAGCTCCTCCATCATCAAGTCCTGGGGCACACTTAGCTTCTTGCCCAGGTCCAGCAAAGGGACTGCCCAGAGAGGCCAGAGTGAGCTCTTACCGCCAAACCCTCGGGGCCCTCGGGGCTGCCAGCTTCTAAGGGTGCCCGCCTCCGAGCACTCTCCAGGGTGTAGGAGAATGCCGCTTTCTCCCCACAGCTGCTGACACTGGGTGTCACCATTCTGTGGGATCTTTGCCTACCTGGTGGGCAGAAATGACACCTCCACCTAATTTGCATGTGTTTGTCACTGAGTGAAATTGAACTCCATTTCAGATGTTCTTTGGCCATTTGTATTTATTCCATGAATTTCCTCTGCAGTTCTTTGCCCATAGCGGTAGGAGTCGTGAGAAATGGTCAAATTCTAGATTAATCTTCTAACAGTGAGCCATGGGTGTGAGCTCTGCCACGGGAGGAGGGGAGGTTTTTGGCCTGAGCCACTCTGTCCTCGTCCGGGGAGCAGCCACTCACTGAGATAGGAAGGGCAGGAGGAGGTTGAGATGGGAAAGATCAGGAGCTCAGTGTTAGACATGTGTTCTTTCCATTTTAAAATAGCCTTTTCTTATAAAAATAGCATATATATATATGTGCACTGAAGGAATTTAGAAAATACAGATATAAGGGGAAAAGAGAAGAATACCATTTCTATCTCCCAGAGGTTGCTACTTTTAACACCTTAGTGTATATCCGTTCATATCCTTTTCAAAGACTATATATTCCTGTATGAGGGGCGCCTGGGTGGCTCAGTCAGTTAAGTGTCTGACTCCTGATTTCAACTCAGGTCATGATCTCAGCGTCCGGGGGTTGAGCCCCACCAGAAATCCACGCACACCTGGGTGTCTGCTGGAGGATTCTCCCTCTCCCTCTCCCCCTGCTCATGTGCTTGCTCGCTCTCTTCTAAAATAAAATAAATAAATCTTATAAGAAAAAGACTATATAATCATGTAAGAGTTTTCAGCCAAAACGAAGTCATAGTTAATACATGCTTTGTGGGTGCCTGGGTGGCTCAGTTGGTTAAGCGACTGCCTTCGGCTCAGGTCATGATCCTGGAGTCCCGGGATCGAGTCCCACGTCGGGCTCCCTGCTCAGCAGGGAGTCTGCCTCTCTCTCTGACCCTCCCCCCTCTCATGCTCTCTATCTCATTCTCTCTCTCAAATAAATAAAATCTTTAAAAAAAAAATACATGCTTTGTAACTTGCTTTTTATCAAAGATCTCCACCTGTGCAAGTGGACACATTTTTGTTTTGTTTTGTTTTATTCAATGCCTAATCCCTATTCAAATTCCCCTAATTGCCTGCAGAACTGGGCATATAAGGTTTGAAGAGCCTTGCAGATGTCCAAGTAGAGAAGCTGAGAAGGAGAGAGCCAGATATGGGAGCCTAGTGCTCATGGGAGAAACTGACCTGAGGTGAAAGTTGGGGCATCGTGAGCTGACAAATGGTGTTTGTTGTTGTTTGATGAAGACCATTACATTTCTTTCTTTTTTCAGAGTTAGGACTCATCGTGATAGCCACATAGAGGGTTTCCAGGGCTGATGGCTGTCCTTAATAGTTTGGAGCCCATCCATATCCTTTGTGTTTCCCCCACTGGCAAAACACCCACTTTGACACACTTCCCAACAAGGAGAGGCTTTGGGAGGAAAGGGGTGACAGAGGGGTGAGGACACTGGTAGGAAAAGGATAAGTATGGACAGCATGGCCAGAGTTGTCCACCTCTAAAATCGGATACACGGAGGTTCATTTTCCAGCTCTATAAATGGTGTTTAGAGTCAGGAGGCTGGGTAAGATCACCAGGGATGTGAGGGGGAAAGAGATCCAAAGCCTGAGCCCCGGACTGGCTGCTGGCATCCAGACCGAGGAGGTGAGGAACCAGTCACGGAGCCTGGGAAGGGGCGCCCCGTGAGGCAGGAGGAAAGCCAGAGCGTGGTGCCCTGGAAACCAAGGGATAACAGCGTTTCAGGGAAGATGGAGTGCTCACGGAGCCGAAAACTGACCATCCTCTTTAGTGTCGGGGCATTGTTATTGGTCATCTTCATAAAAGTAGTTTCTGTGGAGTGTTTGGGTGTGAAAGCTGTATTGGAAAGTGTTAAGAGAAAATGGACAGAGGAGCATTTTAACCACACCTCGAGGAAGCAGTGAACCAAATTGGGAATGTGAGATATTTTATAGGGCAGCTGGCCTGGGTTCTTCAAAGGAGGGAATGACCTGGAAAAAAAAAACAAACGATAGGGCAGGGCAGGAGTGGGGCTTATAGATTCAGGGAGATTGAAGAGCCGTGGCCACCAGATAAACAGTGGTCCTTCTTGGAGCCTCATTAACACAAACTAGAAAATTGGAGAAAGTTGACTGTGGGACGGGTCATTAGGTGGTATTAAATCAAAGTTGCTAATTTTGTTCAGTGTGCTACCGTTTTTGTGGCGTGTAAGGAAATGTCTTCTTTGTTATTTTTGGTGCATCCTGAAGTATGGAGGGGATGAAATGACACGCTCTTTGGGTTTTGCTTTGGACTCCAGGAACAAAAGGAGGGCCATGAGGATTTGCACTCCCTATTTTTGTGTGTTTGGAAGTGAGCTTAATAAAATGTTAGAGAGAGAGAGGAGGTGAGAAAGTATAGACAACAGCTTTGAGGAGTTGTGCTCCATAGGACCGAAGCAGCAGGAGAATCAGGAGGTGTTTGTTTTTAAAAGGGAGAAATAAAAGCATGTTTTTTAGCTCACGGGAAATTTTGACAATACAGTAGAGAGGGAAGACTGCCTGGAAGAATGTCCTTGAGCAGGACAGAGGGGAGGGGAGGGGAGGGTGTGGACCGGAAGAGGTCATCCTCCACATGGGGAATGCGGACACAGATGCGAGCACAGGGCCAGGTATGGAGGAGGGAGCTGGCAGAGGTGCTCTTTTGGTTCCTTCACTGTCCTCAGTGCAACAGGAAGCAAGGTCATCAGCTGAGAAGGAGGACAGGGGAGGAGGCATCGGGAGTTTGGGGCCAGAGTTTGCCACCATCGTCTAAGCGAGTCCTATGGGACAGGGAGATGGACGGGGCTGCCAGGCAGCATCAGGGGACCATGCAGGTGCTGTGATTCATTCCAGTCAATGGAATCCAAACAGGCTTTTAAAAAAGGACGCTGATGGTTTTTTAATTCTTTCAGCAAATATAGAGAGAAGACCTCCTACATGTTAGGAATAGAAAGAGATCCATTGTAGGTTAAGAGGGGAAAAAAGTAAGTTTCAGAAGAATCTGTATTCTAAGATCCCACTCATTTATTTAAAAAAGTAAGTACTATATGTTTATGCATGCATTGAAAAATCTGCACGGAGGCATGCCGAATATCAGTAGTGACTATAGGACATAGGAAGAGGAGGGCTGGAAATTGCACTGTTTTTTTTTTAACAAGAAAAGGTACTGCATACTAAAAGCATGAAAGACTATTTATATCTAAATACATAATAAAAAGTCCCCTGGCATCATATTATCAAATACTACCAGATGAATTGAGCTCAATATTTTTAAAAAAGTTATAGATAAAATCTATTTGATGAAACTTTTCTATTTCTAGGCATTCATTCTTAGGGAGAAAAGTTGAATAAACATGCCTGAAGACAGACATACAAGGATGTTGATTGCACTGAGGTTTCAGATTGTGAAAACCGGGCATCCGTGTTGTGGGGGCGCTGCCCAGATGCCCTTCATCAGCGGCTCAGGGTCACAACTGCCCCATTTCTGCAGAGGGCTGCCCTGCTGAGCAGAAGCGTTCATGGCCTCCTCGCTGAAGACAGGGTGAATTCTGTGGAGCCATTCCTGCTCTGGAGCTCCCACGGGATCAGACTGAACCTGGGCTAACAGCTGAGCCCACATCCTTGCTTAGCAATTTCCCCTGCCCTATCCTGCTTCTGTCATTTCCCTCTTCCTGAGGGCGTGACCTCAATCAGTCACTTGTGTGAGAATCCTCAGCTCTGCTCCTAACGGTCCAACCTGAGATGAACCTTCCTGACCACCAATATGGTGTGTGTGTGTGTGTATCAATATACTTAATATATTACATGCTGGGGGAGCAGGGGGAGGGGGCGGAGAGATACATCATACCAGGATGGAAAGAAGTCTGTGGTAGGCTGCTAAATGAAAAAAAAAAGCAAGCTGAAGAACACAGCGTAGAGTACTTAGCCCACATATATATGGGTTTTTATAAATATGTTTATATATGAACGGAAGATGACTTTACACAAATATGTTAACAGTGGTTATCTCCAGATGGTCCCATTATGAGGAACTTTCACTTTCAAAGTCATTCATGTCTGTTTTGTCTGAATATCTTATAAAAGGGATGTATTATTTGTACAACCGTGTAGTAAAGAAGTAGCTCTGGAGACAAAGAGATCTGGAGTCCAGTCTCAGCTCTACCAACAATTAGCTATGTGACCACCAAGCTCCTCTGAACCTCGGCTTTCTCGTCAGCAAAACAGGGGCAACAATATCTAACTTAGAGAGTTGTTGTGAGGGTTATATAACATAAAGCACAGAAGCTCTTAGCACAGGATCTGACACCGATTAAGTACATAATAATGGTGTTTGTATTATTATTACAGTGGCTGTCTTTTCATGGTAAGACCATGAGAGTTTTTTTCTTTCTACTTTTCTTTAGTTTCAAAACTGTCTTGAGTTAATATCCTAGCAACAGCCAACAATTTATGTATTTCCAGTCTGGCATAAATGATATGTGCCCACATTTGGGGGACTGTAATTAATTAATTACTTAGCCAAGGGAAAAGAGAATGCATTGCCTGGTTCTTCTAGTTAGAGCATCAATACCTCACCAAGTTGTTGTATGTTAGCACCCAAAATCATGAAATTAAAAAAAAAAAAAGAAACTTGACAAAAGGCGGCAAGAACACACAAAATAGGTTAGCACCACTCCCATATAAAGTCATACAAGAGGGTAAAATACTTAGAAGCTGCATGGGGCAAAACCTCAGTGGTGTCCTTACAGGATGGTTTGTCAGAGCTCGGGTCATGGTCCATGTGCTCCAGAATCCCCCGGGGCACTTGTCTCAAAGGCACATGTCCTGCCCCCTCTCCAGGTCCACTGAATCAGGATCCTGGGGGTGGAAGCTGGGAATCTGCATTTTTAGCCAACAGCACCTCTCACTATCATTTGCACTATAGGATGAGAGCCCTGACCTAGTTGAATTTGTTTTTAAAATACTTGAAATCCCCATTTCAAGTCTGAGTGGCTCAGTCAGTTAAGCGTCTGCCTTCAGCTCAGGTCATAATCTCGAGGTCCTGGGATCGAGCCCCACTCGGGCTCCACACTCAGTGGGGAATCTGCTTCTCCCTCTCCCTCTGTGTGCACACTCATTCTATCACCCTCTCAAATAAATAAATAACATCTTTTTTAAAAATAAAATACTTGCAATGCTCTGAAGTAGGCCAAATTAACAGACTCCAAAATTATGCCGAGAGTTCTGGAGGAGGTCTTATATGGTGATAAACATGTATTTTAGCTGATTTCTTCATTGGGTGAGCCTACTTTTAAGTGAAATGGTCTGAGTCACACTGGGGAGTCTCCTCTGGCCAGCCTGTCCCCACTCCCCCCTGACAATTGTCTCCTGCCACGGGGGCTCTGGGAGACCCACAGTGACAGGAAGCAAGGGCAAGTGTGGGAGGGAGCTTGAGGCCACAGTTAGGGCTGGAACTGGGACCAGAGCCCTCAGTATTCAATCTGGGGCTGAGGTAAGGACTTAGTTAGGCCCAGGGCCCAGTGTAAGGCATTCAGTCTCAGCCTCTGGGTGTGTGGGCATCAGGGCAAGGCCCCTCGCAATCCTTCGGGAAGTGACGCAACCCAAGTGGCAGATTCCACAATGCTCCCTCAGGGCTGGCCTGGAACTCACACCTGTTTGCCCAGGCCTCAGGCCAACAGGCCCGAGTGGCTACACTTTGGGACCAGGAAAGGATGGGGTCTGAGGACCGCACAAGGGCTGAGTCCACCTTACCTGGTCCAGTGAGGTCCCCCATGGCAGCCATCACTGGCCCCTTCTGCTCCTTAGGGATCATCCTGTGGAAGAGAGATGCCTGCAAATAGCCAGCCCCCCTTCATCCCTCCCCAGATGTCCTCCCAGTCCCTGGTCCACCCAGCCTCAGCCCCGAACTGCCTTGGCCCACCCCAGTCTCAAGGAAGGGCTCTGAGCTGGACAGGGCTTTGGGGTCTCTTTGTACAGAGGAGGAGACTGAGGTCCAGGGAAGGCAAGGGAGGTGTTAGAAGCCACACAAATCTGCTTCCCATGTTGCCAGGGAGGCACTCTTTCTTCAGGGGGCAATCTCTGGGACACGAGGGGTAAGGGGGGTGGGGGTCTCAGACGACTGTCATCTGCTCACGCAGATGAACTCTAATCAGAGGCTGAAGGAGGTTTAAGTCAGGGAGAGGGGGATATGGATGGGTTGTTAGCCTGGGGCTACACTGGGGTCTACGAGGCTGATCCTGTCCTTCTGTCCCCAGTACTTGGCTCTGAGGCTTGAGGGCACAGGCTGGTCCAAGGAGGCCGAGAGACCCATCACCCCCTTCCCTATGCCCCATTCCTCAGCTGACTTGCAGGGTGCTCTCCTTCACCCTTCTCTACCTCCCCTTTTATCCCCCCTCCCCATTTGCACCCCATGGCACTTTCCAGCGATCTTGGAAGAGATTTACAAACAAAATGAGGTCCAGAGCCCCAGAGAATCCCTGTAGGTTCCAAATCCAGATTCCCTAACTTGCCCCCAGGAGAGAAGGCAGAGCTCTTGAGTCTCCTTACAGACTACCCCTGTGTTTTGCTTCCAGGTTTTCCTACACTCCTTCCTTTAGAAAAAACAGTCCACCTCCATCTATACCCCACACCCACACATGGCCCCGCGTCAGTGGGCACTGAGATGGGCAACCTGGAGTCTAATCCATGTCCTTGACTTCCTCTGTAACTGTGAGCAAGTAGCTCTCCCGCTTTGTGCCTCAATTCCTCTTATGTGTCTCTGTTACATAAGGAGGTTGGGCCAGATCATGGGATCCACAGATGGGCTTGAGGGCATCCACAATCCCCCACCCGGCAAACCGTATCAGATCTGAGCATGTCTGCTCGCATTTGGGATGAGGGCCATGAATTGACGGAGAATGCTCCAACCGTGACCACTCAGGAGTCCACAGTGCATGGGTCTGTTCCTTGATAAACACTCCCCTTACAGACATTTACAGACATTGGGAAGGGCTCTCATCTTACGGACAGGGGCCCTGCTGCCCTCTGCAGCCTAAAGACCTTGAAATCCTATGCAGAGCCATTACCTCTGCCCACCTTGAATCCCAGCCACCCCTTCCCATTTAACCGAGAGTGACCTAGAGCTTAGAATCCCTCCCATCCCAAATCAGGCACCTGGCTTCCTTGAGGCCCCATGCTCCCCAGACCCTTGGCAGGGCCCTTCCTCTACTTGGGGGCTGGGGCTCTGGCAGCTGGCTCATCTCCTCTGCCCACACCCCATAGCTCCTCAAGCTCCCCTAGGATCCTGGTACCTGAGTGGCAGGACCACAGTGTGCAGGAGGGAATGTCAGACCCTCAAAATTAACACCTCTGTCGGGAAGCTGAGAGCTGGGTAGTCGTGTAGGTGCTAGTGGTCCTTGGTCCAGTCTGAGCGGGTGCGTCCTTGCAGCCAGCTCTGGCCTCAGCTGACAAGAATCAAGAATCTTTCCTGCTTTGTCGTGGTTCACAGCCTTATTTTGGGCTGCAACAGGATCCAGGGACAGATGCTAAAAGCACCAGGCCCCAGGGAAGACAGGTGCCCCGGCAGCAGGCCCTTGCAGACAGAAGGGCTTTCACACACACACACACACACACACACACACACACACACACACACAAGTCACCTGGAAATGCCGAGGGTCAGTTGTCAGTCACTTGAGCTTGCCGATTGTATCCTTAGTGCCTAAAATGGGGCCTGATAGGAATTCAATAGATATTTGTTGAATGAATGAATGGATGGATGCATGAATCAGTGAATTTTCCCCTGATATCCTTGTTTGACTTATTCATTTCTTCTTTCCTCTTTTCTTTCCTGCCTTTCTTCCTTCTGCTCCCTCTCTCCCTCCCTTCCTCCACCTTCTCACACCGTCTGAGTCTCTATGGACAGAAGATAAATAAGGCAGGGCTCTGTCCTCAAGGAGCTCAGCCAGGCCCAAGTCAGACCCGTAAATAAGCCTTTGCGATGCATGATGGGAAATACTCTGGGCGTACCCAGGGGAGGGTGCCACCAGCTCTGCCTGGGGGTGGGGTGGGGGACGGGGAAGGCGCTTCCCAGAGGAGACATTTGATCTGGGCCTGGAAGGCTAGTAGGAGTTCACTGGGCAGAGAGGCATAGGCCTTGCGGGCAGAGGCCACGTTGGGTTTAACAATGCCAGGGGTCCGCAAGCAGAGCCAGAACTTGCCCGCAGAGCTGAGAGATGGGGCCGGACAGGTGAGCCAGATCACAGCAGGCTCTCCCAGAGGGACGTATGCTTTAGAAAGGACTGTTGAAGCGTTTAAAGCGGTGGAATGGAGGGGTCACGTTGGCATTTTTCAAATATATCTCTGGGCTGCCAGGTGAAAAATGAGTTGGAGGGGGCCAGACTGGAGGCAGGAAGATTTGCTGGGTCAGGTGAGAGATGGAGAGCCCGCACAGGGGCAGGGGTAGAGGCCATGGAGAGCATGGAGAGGAGGAGGACCCGAGCAGCAGTAGCGGGGGACTCACCAGGTCCTGCTCTGAGATTGGATGTGGGGAGTTCGGGAAAGGCCACTGTGCCCTGAGTGACTGAGGAAGGTAAAGGTGGAACAGCTTGGGGCGGGCGCGGCTACTCAGCTCAGTTTGGAATGAACTTGATTTGCGGTGTCAGGGATGGAAATCACCAGTAGGCAGGGGGACGTTGTGCTCAGGAGGGGTTCTGGCTGGAGATAAAGACTGGGTCACTTGCAGGGAAGGGTGGGCTGGCAAGGACGCGCTGGGTCCAGGGCGGGCAGTACCTGTTCCCGTGTGCAGGGACAGAACGTCCAAGGGCGGGTTTCTGACATGCCCTTAGGAAGGAGCCGGGGCTCTGAGGACTCCAGGAGCTCCACGTTCTGCCCCTTAGGTTCCTGCCCCCAGCCTCTGCTGGGCCTGCGCTTTTAGAGAGGAAGGTGAGGGGTGTTCCCAAGGCAGGCTTGGCCTCACCTGGGAGTGGGGCCACAGTCCCCTTCTCTGGACAAAGGACACCGCCACCAGGTGAGGAGCACTCCTGATAGCCTGGGTCCCGAGCTCACTAGGGTTACCTGGACTCAGATGGGACCCTTATAGGGGCTTCTCCTGCTGCATGGAGCCCCAACCTGCCATGAGGAACCCGCCCCACAGCCCTGGGCCCTGACCCAGCTTGGCCCTACCTGCCCCAGTGATAGTGGCCTGTGGTGAGGGGCAATACCACCTCGCCCAGCTCACTCTGCACAGATAGGGAAGCTGAGGCTGGCTAAGCAGGGAGCTTACTCAGGGTCACCCAGCTGGTAGGAGACAGGATCAGGACCTCAACCCTGGGACCTCATCTACGGCCTGGAGTTGTTCCATTGTTCCCCGTCTCTCTCCATGGTTGCTACGCCCCAAGCTCCCATCCCACCTGTGTCAAACATTCTCGTCCCCGCAGAATCCCTCGGACTGTTCCATGGGGAGAAGGGAGGGGCTTTAGACGAAGCTTTTGAAAATGACACAGGAGGCAGAAGTATGCAGGAAGCATTTATTGAGGGCCAGAGATGAATTCTGCAGGAGGCAAGAGGCAGAACACAGGCAGTCTCTAGTGGGCTAGAGGGGAGGATGGGGGGAGAAGACAGTGACAGGAACAGCCAGGCAGAAACGCAGCTTTCCAGGGCTGCCGTCTGCTGGCTCTTTGGGGAAATGCAAGCAAAGTGGATTTTCTATGCCCCTGCATCAACCAGTGGCCTGAGAGCGTCTCTTCTGTGAAAGGGGCCCTTAGCCCCAGTCTCCCATGCTACAAAGGAACCCTGAAGCAGATGGGGACTTCATCATCGACCATCATCGACCAAGCAGGAATACTCCCTTATCTTCCCTCTGTCAGGGCCTGTGTTCCCAATCCTTAGGCCCTAGGCACCCTCTGGGATCACTCCTTAATTCCAAAGACCCCCATCTGACTCTCTCCCACCCCGACCCCAGCTTTCCCTAGCCTTCTGTGGGGGTTTCAGGTCTAACATCACCTGATGTTACCCACCTGGGTGGGTAAGTCTACCCCTAACCCCAAATCACACTCAGTCCCTCACCGTTAGCAACATCCTGGTATCCTTTCTCTTAATCTTTTATCCTACATCTCTTTGATCCTCAGTCAAGTCCAGTGCCCCATCCCCACCCTCCTCTGTGCTTAGTATCCTGAAGCTGGTATTCTGAACCTCTAGAGGGCACCACCAGCCAACTTTGGAAGCTATAGAATTTAGCCGCATTCTTCCCATGTCCCTCCTGGGGATTGGAATGAGAACCACCCAGGTCTAAGGGACAGGCCAGAGTCTGCAGCCAGGCTCCTCAAGGTCACTGGGCACCAGGCACTAGCTAGGCCAGAGTGTAACAGGAAAGAGATGGGGCAGAACAGTGCCCACTCATCTGGGCATGATATGGATACTGGGGCCTAAAACTGAAGCATGGCGTATTTCCCAAGGAGCCAGAAACACAGGCGGACTAGTCTAACCCCTCCCTCACCCACCCATGCTCATCTGCCCCCAAATTCTGCCCAATAAGTCCTCCACCACCAACTGCCTCCCTTCCTAACCCCATGCAAGGCATTTCAGGACTGGAAGAGCCCTCAGAGGTCATCTGAGCCAATCCACTTCCTACTAGAATCTCCTCTATGCATCCTGGCTACTGCTTGAATACCTCCCATAACAAGGAACTCTTGCCTCCCCTTTTCCGAGTGGCCAACCTCAAACTCAGGGCCATTAGGTAAAGTCACAGGCGAGCAGATAGCTCCATATCAACTCTTCTCCCCCCAACTCAGCGTTGAGCCTGGAACCTGCCATGAAAGGGCCGAGAAGAGATAGATGGGTTGGAGGCACCTACAGCATTCCTGGAGGCCCAAGTCCTGGGGCCGGGGCCATAAGTCATCACCTTCCAGCTTTCCCCTCTGGCGGCAGATAAGCGGCCCTGACAGTCTAAGCCGGAGCGGGAAAAGCGTGAGAGGGACCTTGGAGGAGGAATCTTTCCACCTCTTGTCTCCCGAGGGGCCAGCAGGCACCTTGAGCTGGCCTGGGAGACCTCTCTAAAGGTCACCATGGTAAAAATAGAGCTTGTCTGGGAAGGGGTAGCAAGCAGCTGCTCCTGCCTGGGACTTGGTGCCAGGGAGGCAGGCGGTCAAGCCAGGGCCCAGGCAGGGGACTGAGGCCTAGGATCTTGTGAACACACCCCTCATTTGCCAGACTCCAGAGAGCAGAGCCAGGAAGGGAGGGAGGACTGTGGAACCCCGAACCAGAGCGAGTCTAGGGGTCCATACACACAATACCCTGACTCTTTCAGGGCAGGTGTGTGTGGGTGCGTGTGTGCGTGTGTGTATTGATGGGGAGGGGAGGGGAAATTTAGACCTGTGAAGATGGCCTTGCTCCAAGTCTCATTAAACGGATGGGAAGGCTGAGGGTGGGACAGAGGAAGGGTCTTGCCCCGGGCCACACAATGACTGAATGATAGAATAAGGGCTAGAACCCAAGCTTGGATCACTACCCCAGCCCCAAGCCCAGAGCACGCCTCCCCTTACCCCTTGTCCAAAGCGGCCAGACCTCACCGCCCCCCCCAACCCCTCCACCCCCCGGACGTGGTGCTGGGATCTACCAAGCCCCACAACTCTTCTTCTGGCTCAGCCCTCCCGGGGTGGGGACGGAGCGGGAGCGGGCGAGGCTTTAGGTGGTGCAGGAGGCCTCGGCGGGGAGGCTGCCACGCTTGAGCCTCAGGCTGCCGTTCCACCCGCGGGGACAGATGTTGTAGCCGAGGATGCCGGGCGACTTAGCCCCGGAGTCCTCGGAGTCGAGGGACACGTCGGAGTTCGTGGGCGACCGGCGGTAGGCGAAGGGCCTGGGCGTCGCGGGCAGCGGGCTCCGGGGGCTGGCGCAGGGCGAGGGGCCGGCGGTCAGCGGGCTCCGC